GACCAGTGCCTCCCGTGCTAGCCTGGTTACCCATCACACGCTTGATTGAACGCTTTTTGAGGTTGCTCGACCAAAGCTCGAACCAACAGGCAAGCGAAGCAGCACAACAGCAGAGACATTTTTTTTTTTTCGCTGCTAGCCCTATTTTTTTAATGTACCACACCCCTCCCTCCCCCCCGGAGTACACCTCCCTCCCCCCCGGCGTTTGTCATCGGGGTTGGGTTTTCGTCGCTTGGCAACGAAGTTGTAAAACAATCCCCCCCCCGGTGTTTGCCATCGGTATTGGGTTTTCGTCGCTTGACAACGACGTTGTAAAAAAGCCAGTTCACTGCGTGAACTCGGTGAAGGCCACCCTGACTCTCGAAATCATGGGTTCGAGTCCGTGTGGAGGTGTCTTTTTTTCCAAGACATTTTTTTTTACAATAGGTATGTGGGCGACTGCGAACGAACGCAATTCAATGTGTATATTCCCGCACAAGCCTACTGCAGGTATTTTTTTCAACCAAAAAACACTATTCCACCTCCCGATCTAGTAATACCCCCAACATCATTCAGTAATCACGAGCGAGGCCCTCTGCTGGGGACCATCGCGTCATCGCGAGATTGCGAGTGGATCTGTCATGCCGCCACCTACATGTTCGATGATACTGTACACCTCGCCCGCTCAGTCAACAGCGCAGTAGTCTACGGCTACTGCTGTGGGTTCCGCTCTCCGCGGGATTGATCAAAGAGGAGCGGCTTGGTTTGGTTTGGTTCGGAGCGGAGACTACCGCTGTAAAGAGCCTAGACTACTCGTGGTGAAGATTTCGGAGATACCGGAGATTCTCGCTTTATCTGACGTCTGCCGTCTGCCGTCCAGCCTCGCCCTCTCTGTGGTGTTCCCCTTGTTGTCTCCAGGAATAGGGCATCCAGACAGCACCCCCACATCCAACGTACCCGCGTCACCGTCCTCGTGCTTCGGGTGCAAGGCATTCGTGCGCGTTGAACGTGCAGCGGCAGTACTGGACGCATGTCAGGCAGCTCAAAGCAGCAGCCACACGGGGGTGCGTCACAGGATCGTCAGCCACTTCCAGAAAATATACACCCAGTTCAACCTCTCCTGGACACCGCTACCAACGACGTCTCCTGCGGAAGGAGGAGCATGTCCCCTAGCAGCCCCTTGTCTCTGTCCATCGCAGTAACGAGGCCATCGAGCGTGGCCCTTGGCGTGTCGGTCGCCTTCGCGTTGCTCTCGGCGAGCTGTGGCTGGGTGTTGTCAGGGACAAGAATCTCCGATGTTTTTCGAGCTGTGAGGGTGCTGCCTCCCCGCGAAAAGCCCTCGCGAGGGGATCTGCACAAGGTGGGGCGTGTTCTACCATTGACGTGTGTGTGTGTGTTTTTATTGTTAGTATCGACCGCGCTAACCGGCGGACCAATGTGTGTGTGTGTGTGTGTGTGTGTGTGTGCAACAATACACAGCAGTACCTGCAGGCTGTGTGTGGGGCACTGCTGTGCATTGCTGTGCACGGAAATTTTTGGCAGGACACGGCCTGCGACGAGGAGGTCAACACGTCAGGAAGACGAGAACAAATGTGAACCTACGAGCAACGGTCGAAATGCATAAATTCCAGGGTACATACCCTGGGGGTCCCTACGTTTACACACACGCTGTCATCTCCACGGGATCTGAGATTGGGGGCCAAGACTGATCAACATGTTAGTTATGGTTATTCCGTTACTACTCTGCTGCTGCAACTTCGTACGGAGTATTAGTTACTTTGGATATTTTGACGAACCCAAGATTCGATCGGGTATATCTTTCGCGTGTGACGGGCGGCAAAACGATCTGCCGAGCTCCCACCGCGCTACAACACTGCTTCCCAGCTCGTGGATCTGACGGTACGTTCCAAAATAATAATTGGTCCTCAAAGGGTCGTGGGCTCAATCAAAATACGGGCGCGATATTCGTTACTTCTACATGAAACATAGTATAACAATTGCTCGTTGTGTATCACCTGGTATTTATCTACATAAAATGATCATGTGGAACCTGAATTTTGAATTTTCAAACATTCAATTCATTTTGTCTTTGTTGTTTTCAGTTTTCAACGGAAAAGGAGGATTGCTGAAACCTTGGCGGATAGAGTACTATAAATTGATGAGAGTGAGTTCCATAAATACTTCAGTGTGACCCGGAATCGTCGCCCCTCACAGTAGAGAGGAGACTACGGGTCAAGGCTGTGAAGCTTGCCATGCATGTCGTTAGACAAAAGAAGGGGACGAAAAACTCTGAAATTACCTATCGGAGGAACCTGTACTGCGGAACTTACGACATTTTCTACACAAGAAGTAAAAAGTGTAGTAATAGCACGTCCTTCCTACAGTAGCTTCGTCTCTTTGGTGTCCAGATCGACAATAAAAGGAGGTGTGCAACACTGAGAACAACGTGAAAATACTTCATGAGCCCCATCCCTAACGTGCACATACATCCTTGGGTGAGTAAATCCTCTTGTCCGCCAGGATTGTGGCACCTCGCCGGCCTCCCTTTGTACAAATGTCGCCGGATTGCGTGTGTAGTGAACAAACCTGTTTGGGCCTGGCAGCCGGGCCATGAAAAAATGTCCTACATACTCGATGCCGGGGTGAAGCATCAAAATATGTAGAGCGACCTTTTCTCACTTGTTGAAGATTTTCCCCCCTATGTTATTCCTCTTCTCGACCAAGCAGCAACAGGATGCGTGCCGCGCAGCACCCCCGTGGGACGCCAGCATTTCGGAGATGCGGGATGCGGTTGATTCGTTCGTGGCAAGGGACTACGTTCCCCCTGTATGGGCGCGTAACGCTCACCTCCACACCATCGTCGCCTCCGGAGACATGGAAAAAAAGCTCCTCGGCGACAGAGCGGTACGTTTGTGCTCACCTTGTACCAGGAATACAGCAGGTTGTTTCATTATGTGTCCAATGTAGCTCGCCAGAAACATTTTCGGTCGTCCGGAGTTCCTAGTGGAAGCAGCTGGTACACTAATAAGCCTGTTCAGCAACGATACAGTAGATGAGGTGTCGAGAACAACAATTCTGCCGCCCCGTACTTTTTTCGAGGATGGTGCGGGAGGCGGCGGTCTACTGCATACGTGTGTTTTCCCCCTGAAAAGATAAAGATCAGATCAAGGACCCGATGGCCCCCAGTGGTAGGAAACCCTGTGCTTGTGGCACCTTGCTTTGATGCACTCTGTCTTGTGGAAATATCTTTGTAGATGTCTGGTGAGAAAGACTGAAGAAGCCATTGCTATTAAAACATACATTAGAACGGAGAAATGCTGCTCTCGAAAGCATAACCTGTTGTCAGTCAGAGTGAAGCCCTCGCCGCGAGCTGTATCAGCAGAGCTGTATCAGGGGCATAAGGAGGTAGACGAACATACATGCTTTGATGAACGCATCGCAGACCAACGACCACACAAGTCCTTTTAGGTTATAGTCCCTGGGTACACAGCAGTCCGGGAAATTGCATCATGCCGGAATCTCCCCTTTTCATGGGCTAAAAAATAAGCCAGTGCTTCGCTTGCGTCACGCTCTCCTTGTATCCCCTCGTCCTATCTCCCTTGCGGATTTTGCTGCTACCTATCCCTCTTCTCCGTCCAATGTTCTGGCCGGCATTTGTTTCTATTGCAGCCGCTAGAGTATTGGAGAGAGCGCTGGCCCACATCCGACGGGGATTTCGTGGACATAGACTGGCTGCCCGCCGAGGAACCCGTCAACGACGACCCCAGGGTATGTACGCGCTTGTCCCTCTAGTGTGCCCCCCCCCAAGGCTGTAGACCTCAGCTAAAACTTTGACATGTAGTGGAGCTCATTTGTTGTTGCGCTGGTGATGTATTTTCTTTTTGTTTTGTTGTCAACATGGTTGCTGTTGCTCACACGCGACAAAACAAAATTTCCCTCTTACCTGCTGGTCCAACCAGTAGCTGACGGCTCTTTTCGCCGAAAGGCATGCCGTGGTTCGATCGCACTTGTGACTCGGATGCGGCTGTACGTTTTGGCGGCGCACGAACTAGCATCTCAGCTGGACTCGAGCGCGGCCCGCGTATTTGTCGTCAGTGCATCATATCATGTGTGCGTGTTGTACCGTTTTGAAGGGCCCTCTTCCAATAGGACCGTATTTCGCACATGGTGTAACTGTTTCAAGACCCAGTGCCATATTTTCCCATCGGGTTTACCAGTTTCAAGAGCCCTATTCCAATCGTGCCGTATTTTGTCACCGGGTGTACCTCTTTCAGAGCCTCCTTCGAGCGTCGTATTCTTGCCCCGGGTGTGTACCCCCTCGCTTACGATTCATTTCCGGGCACTCCGTTCGCGTGCAGGAGAAGACCTCAGGGCGTTTAGACACCGACACTAGCCAGGCTGCTGCTGCTGCTGCTGGAGCTGGAGATGCGCTGCTCAATGGAGAACTCGAAGGCACCATCAATAAAGGGCTCGACTTGCAGGTACGCAGCAGCAGCAACAGTAACCGTTTCCAGGCGGGTTGGTCGCCCCCGGGAGGGGGTGCACATACTGGCCAGTTATGTAGCCGCACTGGCCGCCTAGTGCACAATTTCCGTTCGTTGTACAATTAACGCCTTGCAGCTGTCTCTCTCTCTCTCCGGCTCGCCCTCAGAACCTACCCGCTCCAACCACAAACGTTTCGTGTCGTGAAAGCCATGTGTTTGTTTTCCACGATGACCGCCGGTCCAATAAACAACCTCACCCAATCCTGTTCATTGATCTTCTTCTTCCCTCATCCGAAGATGAGGGACGACATGAAGAAGCTCCGAGAAATGGCCGAGTTGGCCGAGCGCGCTCACGAAAACGACCTTGGTCTTGGCCACCCGGCGGCGCCAGAGCCAGTCCACGATAACGACCCGTCTTGGATGGCGGAGAGGAGCAAGGGGAAGGGCGGCCAAGGGAGCGGGGGCACGCGGCGGCTCGTGCTGGTGCTCCATGGGCTCGAGGGGAGCTCGACGGCGCCGCTTACCAAGCGCTTCTCAAAAGTCTACACGAAGAACGGGTAGGATTATTGTAGGACCGGGACAGAGTACCGGCTACGGTTTTGTGGATATTTTCGTTGGAGAAAGTACGGGATTTGAGACAGCAAGTCGCGGACATAAGAGATTCTACACACCATCGCGGTTGCAGAGAGGCTGGATGTTAGGAGAGTTTCAGCTGCCTTGGTACGGCCCTCTCATGATGCCGTTGCCATTGCTCTGCATTGCCTCTTGTTGCTGAACGGCCGCTAGACTATGGTGTCCCTTTCTGCCCTCATTCCGACATGCCTCCCTGCAGATTTGACGTGGCGGCACTGAACTTTCGGGGGTGCAGCGGGCAGCTCAGCAAATATCCTGTGGGCTATCACCTTGGTTTCACCGATGATCTCCTTCACGTGGTAAGAGAGCTTCTACTGCAGCAGCCGAGGACAACGGACTACCTCGCCCCCCCCGCGCCCGCCCTCTTGCCCCTGCAGACGTTCGTAAGAGTTGTCGTGATTGAGCCGATGGCTTGGTCTCGGCAGTGTGGTGGCGATTTGATGGACCGTGTTCTTTCTTGTGTTGCTTGCTGCTTCAATCTTATTTGTGTTTCTACTCGATCTCCCGCCATGACGACTTTTGATGTACTGAGCTATCCGGCCTCTTTGTTTCAAAGTCGTTTGCGTCATTTCTCTTATCCGTACTTAGTTGCTGTTGTCCTCGCGCTCCCGCCACGTCGATGTTGGTTTCTTCCTTATTCCTTGTTGCATGGTATCCAGATCGAGGAGATCCACCGCAAATTTCCAGGCACGTGGGACCGGATTTACCTGAGTGGTTTCAGCCTAGGAGGGAACGTCATCGTCAAGTTCTTGGGGGAGCAGGTGAAAAACACTCACGCACCCGGTGTTATTGTCAGCGTTCCGCAGGCCATGGTGTCAAGCGCTGGCGTCGGTAATCCGCAGGCCATGGTGTGTAGCGTTGGCGTTAGTGATCCGCAGGCCATCCCGCGAGCTACGGCTACCGCCAAGGTGATTTGGTGGTTTTCATCTCAGGGGTGGCATCGGATATGATTTGAGAGAATCACGAATGAGTGAGTAGTGCGCCAGCCTGGCCCGGACGTCGTTGTGCATTAACTCGGAGTTAGACTTTTCATCCAATGGACCCGGGGAAATCAATAGCTCTCGAAACACCGCTACTGCTGGGTAGCAGCCTTCACTCCACCCAGTCTTGCCCAAGTGCCTCGAATATCTCGAAAGTAACTCACGCCAGGGTGTTGGGCGACCTCATCGAGGCCTGTCCCGCGACGGCTTCACGGCCGTTTCACCAACAGTTTCACATTTTCACGACGATTTCACGACGGCTTCATGACCATTTCACGTTTGCGAGGCGGTTTCACGGCGGTTGCACGACCGTTTCACTCTTTCAAGGCGGTTGTTCTTACCTCCATATCACTGCCGTGAGGTTGCTACACTACTACACCTTTGCAACAGGTGGGCTCCCTCCCCCCCTCCGGTGTTACCGACTGACCCTTTTGGGTTGTCCTTTCTCCATTGCCTTGCTCGCACTGCCCATCTTCCCACAGGGCGATCGCGCGCGGGACCTCGGCATCTACGGCGCGGCGGTCGGCTGCGTACCGTTCGAGCCTAAGATCGCAGCGGAGAAGCTCGAGAAAGATCCCATTGGAAGGTAAGATATGACTCTGAAAATATCGCGTTGGAAAAAAAGCTAGCTTGGAGAAGATCCCGTGACAAGGAACGAATTCGCTCGAATAAAATTCCGTTGAAAAGGAAGAGTTAGCTCTAAAAATATCCCGTCATGTGAACATTTAACTCCTACCTTGTTAGCTTTTGACGCAAAGATGCTGGATGCGTTCGTTCATGAGCGCGACGTATTTGTTTTTTCTCAAAATCGCGCACGTCCCTGTGTTTCCTGCAACCCCGAAAATGCGGTTGTTTGCTGCAATAGATACGTGTACACACCGATCTTCATGGGGTGGATGAATATGAAGGCCGCTGCTCACGCCAAGGCCTTCCCGGAGAAGCTCAGCCTCGAGACCGTGCAGAACGTCAAGACCTTCACGCAGTTCAACAGCCACATCGTGCCTCCTGTCTTCGATTTCTCCTCCCCAGACGTGGGTTTCACTACTGTCGTCTTCGTCGTCGTATTATGGTTTCACCTTGTTTACGTTGTGGACCTTGCCATCAGAATGTTGCATCGAAAATCGAAATCGAAATTAGATTTAGATTTTCAATTTCGGGTTGGCTCTACACAGCGCATGCGGGGAATCGAAATCGAAAATCATCCTGGAAGAGGCGAACAAGGCCCGTACATGCCAGTTGCGATGATTCAAACCATGACCATGAGAGCCACACGGCATCCAAGACAGCGAACGATAGCTCCGAACAACGGCCATGATCAGGCGGGTTGGGGAGTCTTTGTCTCGCATCGATACGCTTGGAACTCGGCGAGCAATGTGTGATCGAATGCTGCGTGCTACGTAGGAACGCCAAAATAGCTGCCGTTGAACTGCGTTTACAAAGAAAGAATTTCACGGCCATGACTCTCTCTCTCTCAACTAAGAGCTGCTTTCGCTCAAAGAAAGTACCGTGCTCTGCTGGATGTCAGCTTTCTTTCAAGCTCTTGCTTGCATCACCAAGCAGTCTGTAGGTGGCTAGATGAGTATCGAAATGGAGGCATGTACGAATCTGTGAGGGTGTGGCAGCCAGCTTGATGTTCCGGTTGGCATTTTCGATTTTCGATTTCGAGTCTGTTCGTGCTCCCTTTTGATTTTTCCATATCGGAGAATATTCGGAACACTTACCCCCAGATCGAAAAACCGGCGGCAGAACACTGGAGATATGTCCAATGAGTGACATGTTCGATTTTCGATTTTCGATTTTCGATTTCGACGGAATAGTGGTCTGACAAGGTCCACCCTGAGCAGAAACTGCGTGCAACCTTGGGCTTAGGGTTAGGGTCAGGCAACCTTAGGGTTGGCGCTGGGTCTGGCCGGAAGCCAGCGGCAGACCCAGCGTCTCGCTACGACACCGAATCAACAACACTCTTTACGGCCCAACCTTTGCTGCTGATCCGCTCCTCCACTGCATACGACATGCCCTTTGCTGCGTGGTGCACCTCTGCTGCCCGTCAACATGGACGCCTGCCTGCATGCCGTGCCCACCACCCAGGAGTTCTACGAGGACGTGAACGCGTCCAACTACCTCTCGAGAGTTAGGGTGCCGCTCATGGTGGTCAACGCCAAAGACGACCCCTTCATCGACGGTGACCACTTGCCGGAGCAGGAGAGGGCCGCAGGCGCCCCCGTGCGCCTCGTCTACCACACCTACGGGGGGCACTGCGGGTGAGACTCGGGGTTGGGGGCAGCACCCATGCGGGTTGCGGGTGTACTGGGAGACTTCGCCGCGGCGGGGCAGCGAAACCCTCGGTCGTGTGTATGGATGGCTGGCAAGCAGTGCTTGGGTATGTGTTTTCGGGCGATCCTTGGAGGCCATTTCTCCGGGAAGGCCACGAAATAGTTTTGACGAGCATCGTCGGAGGAACGTGCTGGCCGAACGTCGAGTTTCCTCTCTTGCATCGTTTTCCCAATAGTTCTGGAAGCTCAACTTCAAATATTTCGCCCGCGATGCCCCTTACTACGGACGGTGCGCCCTTCGGTCTGAAACATGTGCCTTCCAAGTGGCGTTCTATCCATCTTTCAGCACATAATTTGTGTCGTTTGCCTGTGGTCCTGCTAATACTACACTACATCCATGTGCATGCTTGGTGGCTTTCCATCCGCCATCAATATACTCCCATTCCACCCACCTCTCCGCGATTGTCTGTGCGCTTCCGCCGCTGCCCCATGTCTCACGGACCGCGTGGCATCCCTCGCGCCTCGTTAATGCGCACGGCACCCACCCACACGCAGGTTTATGTCCGGCGTGCTGTCGAAGGCTCTCCAGCAGAAGACCCCCGGGCGTCCGCGCAAGTGGGGCGGCTCCCCCTGGGGGGGGAGCTGGGTTCCTTCGGCCTGGCGTGACGGTCCCGAGTCCGTTCCTGAGGCGCCGGATGCGGAGTACACCCCGCCGGAAGTGGATGCCGTCCTGTCCGCTTCGGACACACCGCCTTCCATCAACGGAGCTCCTTTGGAGACCGAAGGGGGCGGCAGTGCTGGGGATGGGGTGGGCAGTGAAGAAGGGGACGCGCGGCAGGCTGCGGGGGGAGACACCATGGTGAAGGAAGGCAGGTGGCTGCCGACTGAGCTGGCGCGGTTCGTGACGCACCTCGAGCACTCCCTGCACAAGGACGGGAGATCGGAGCGGAGAGGGGCGGGAACGTCGGCCGCCGGCCCGAGGTCCTGTGTGGTGAGCAAGTAGTTAACCGTATGGCCCGTTGTTGTGCGACCCGAGCCTAGTGGTGGGTACCGGTGACCAAGAGCGTGCCGCCACCACTCGTTCGTTGCCACCACCTTAGTACCTCACCCACCCTCTCCCTCCGCCCGTTGACTTTGTTGACTGTGCGGCGACGTCGGAACGTGATGCCGACAAAGCGATGACGCGGTGCAAGGCAGCATGCGGAACGGAGCAGCAAGCAATCCTCGAACCAACGGGCCGCGAGGGGCGTAGCGCGGCGAATCTTACCTTCCGTCACATTCCCAATCGTGCATGTGTGGTGTCAATACTGCTGTATCTTGTTCCTTGCGGCATGTCCTTCGTCTCGATGGGCCTTCAAATGTTTATATTGCCCGTGGGGAAGGCTGTGGTCCTACGAAGACAAATTTTATATGGGTTAACGCTCTTTGGTACCCCTGTTTGGGGGTGCGCCCCCCCCCCACCAGAGGGGTTCCGCAACATCGTACGGAAGTATGGTTAAGCTTGCCCCCATCGAGTGCGTAGCTTGTGTGTTGAGTTTTGGTCTGAAACCCTCGCTGGTGTGCATCGGAAGAAATATCTTGCGGCACTGTATAGGTTTTTCTACGCGCCACAGCTCTCGAGGTGTCGTTCTTTTCACGCGAGGATTCGGCAGGCACTGCGCACGTCCCTTCTCCACAGACTCAAGTGCGCTTCTTGACTACCACTGGCCAACCGTTGGCTTATAGGTGTTGCTGCACCGTTTACGGCGTGTTTGTCTTCCACGACGGACGTCGCTTGAAATGCATAGTCAATGGGCTAGACGATATGCCACGGGGACGTTGTTTGTTGCGAATTGCATGGTCAGCGGGTTAGATCAGGACATCTCACGGGGAAGTTGTTTGTTGCAAAATGCATGGTCAGTGGACTATAGACCAGGATACGCCGCGTCCCTCAGGATCCGAAAAGGCGACGGCTGTTAGGAATTTCCCCACCCTCGGTCAACTATTTCGTGGAAACCGGTCCGATCCGGGCTTGGAAACGCACAAATACAGAAGTGATGCCCCAAGGTTGCTGATGGGAGGTGAGGGTCGTTAGGGGAGCCCACGGCAACCGCGGACTGTGGCAGAGAAGGGCGAGTTTCTGTTATTGTTGTTGAACCTTGCACGCTGCTGTTTGACAAGTAAGAGCAGTCGGTGCTCTTGCTCGACCTTCTTGCGTCTGCCGTCTGCACCTTGAGTCTGTGCTGACGCGACAAAGACGTGTTACCCTTGCTGGGCGGCAGCCTTTCGTTACGAGGGGGGTGAGTCGCGCGGGCGGTTTTCTTGATGATGATGGTGTCCTAGGTGGCCCCTGGTGGGAGGTGTGGGGGATGGAACTGATGCATGGGTGTCTCACGTACTGCCAGTAGCTCGTCATGGGGGCGACAACTCGTCGTAGCTAGTTTGCGGCAGCCGCAACGCAGCAGTTGGTCGTTTCGGGAATTGATGTGTTCGTTACCGTCGGGGGCTTTCAGACACACGATCGGTGGAAAACAAATGTCAAACTATTAGGCTTCACGTGCGTTCGAAACTAGCCCGTGGGATGATTACGCTAGCGGTTCATGGTGCGGGCGGTGGGCTTGTTGTTGGGCTTGTTGTTGACAGATCGACGCTTGCGGTAGGATACGAGCGTTGCGTAGCCAGCTTCTGCAATTCCCCTCGCAAGTTTTACCTGTAGAAGCTGCAGTGCCGGATGCTCCGACGGCATACCAGCCCGGGTACAAGTCATGGTGGATCCGTCAGCAACGGTTTTCAAGGGCGGTCAAAACCAGTTTTCGGGGTGGTTTTTGTTGTGCTGTCTGTCCTGGGATGCTTTCGAGTGAGTGGATCACTAAAACCTTTCATGCACTACGCAACAATGAAACGAAAGAGTGTGGGCTGCATAGTACATAAATAACGGGGATAATAGGTGGAAGAGTGGTGTTGGGCTGGCTTAGGGGGGACCTGTTGGGCCGCGGAACACGCCGAGGCGCGGATTTCGGTGCAACGAATCTAGCTATCGTACGGCGAGGAGCGCTTACTTATGCGCTGAGAACAAGTTCATGGTTTCTTCGCAGGAACCGCAGGTCTTGCGGTCCTCCACAACAAGTGTTGCATGCATAGCCACGGCAGCATCACGAGTGGGGAAGTACTCAAATCTTCTGCGTATAGTATGGGAAATGCTCAAAGGACGTATTGACCGAGTTGGGGTAAGCACGCCCTTGGTAGGTAGCGTTGAGTGTGCCGAGAGAAGCACTGGATTTCAGCTGCGTGATCGGAGGTGTTCGAGAATTAGGGTCGGTGCGGTATTGAACGTTGTTGACGACAAAACACGCATTCCAACAGATGCGTTATTTGCACCGCTTTTTCTTCCTACTTTACGAACCAGATTTTGCGAGCGCAACTAGTGTGGAAACGACGACGCCCGGTAGTAGTAGCAAATGAGCCGGCTTCCCTGTTCGAATTACAAGCGAGCTGCGCACGTGCAAGTGCTACCAGAGTCGGAAATATAGAACAACACAACGAGTGATTCGGAGTTTCAAAAAAAGTCAAGGCTTCGTGCGAGCTTTTGAACTGCACACGTTCAAGTGCTACCGGAGTCGCCGCCGCCGGAACGACCACGACTAATAGGATTTTCACCGCAAGCCAAAACAGGGCTTCGTGCGAGCTAACACATCAATAGCGGTGCCACGGGCTCAAGCCTTTCTACTCCACGTTTCTAACCTGTTATACCTGCCTGATGATCTTGCGCGCGCTTTCCCCGAAAACACTTTCCCGGTCTCTGGATGGCGTTTCAGCCATTTGACGTCATCAGAAATGAGATCACATATCTCGAAAAGATGAGATAAATTATATCCGAAATGGGATTAAAATGTATCCCCCATAAATCGAGTCAGGCATCATCGCCAAAAAACTTTTTGTAGCATCGGACCACGTATGCACGCTTCACAGAGACTGCCACACCACTCCCAATCCACGCCCACACTCCGCATAACGCCTACAAAGGTACACCGTATTATGCGCACTGCGTGTGAATGACGTGGATTCGAATCCCGGACAACTCATATTTTTTTTTCTCTTGCTTCTTTTTTTTCCATAGCAGGACGCGGGTTCGACCCCAGTGTTGATCTACTTTTTTTTCGTTTGTCTTTTTTAACTTTTTATCTTTCTTTTTCTTTTGTACACGACTTTTCCCCTGTTTTTTTCTTCCTTTTTTATTTTTTGCGTACAGTTATTTTAATCAAAATTCAAATTATGCCTGCTTTTACCACTAAAATATCATGATATATTCTATCTCGATGCCCATTCTTTTTTGCCCGCGCTTCAAAACAGGTGAACCATGGTTGTCGAAAACGGATAGACTGTCGTCACGGGTCGCCGCCGTGGAAGCAAGGGTCGAAGCAAGGATCTTCGCGTCATCCCGACCACCACCAATGGATTCAACTGGAGGATGCACTGCGATCTGATCGATAACGGTGGACACGAAGACCGCTGGTGGCAGTCAGCTCTCGAGAGGCACTTGATCTCGGATCGCCTCCTCCACCCCGTTCATGCCAAGCAGGCCCTGTTGAAGGACGGTAAGCGTGGCGCGGAAGTCGATAAGTTGGACGAGTTGGCCTCGGGAGTTCGAAATCTGACGGTCGCAGCTCTAGAGGCCGACCCATTCCACCCTGGTCGCGACGCTTTTACCGTCGAGGAGCAGTCGGCGGTCACGCCCGAGGAGATCGGGGAGATGGCAACGACGGTGCGGAGGGACATCAGGAACTTCTACGACTGGAAGAACAGCATCCTTCACCCGCGCGGACTAGCAGACGACCTGGCCGCCGAAGTCCTGGCCGTCAGCGTCGGCATGCACGACTTTGCGGTTGTCCAAGAGAGGGTAGATAGTGAAGACGGAGACAGCGAGTACAAAGACGGCAAGTACCTGCGGACCAACTACGAAGGCAACGCAGCAACATGGTCGACTATGACTACGGGCACTTCAGGGCCGTTATTCTCAAGGACGTGAGTTTTTTAGAGTATAAATGCAATTATATCTGTCGATAGCCGCATGTACTTTAAGTTGTCTCCCCGTCTCCACCCGCTCTTTCTCGCAAAAAGGCAACATCATGTAAGGTCTTTCCGTTTTTTTCGCAGGAGTGCGAGTCTAACATCGCAGATGAGGAAAACCTGGAATGGGTAGTGGATTACCTCCTGAAGCTCATCAAGATTTCGCGGGAAGGTCTCAAGAGGATAGCCGACAGCGCAGGGACTCCGAGGACCGACGCGGGCGTGGACGCCAGTAGGATCAGTGCGGAGGCCAGCTCGGACGCCAGAGCGGAGACCAGTGTGGAGGTACGTTTTTTTTTCTGAGACATGACGAGTAGAATATACAGAAAAAATACAAACAAGCTCCCGCCATTTCGCCACGTGTACTTCGTCTGTATCTCCACGCTTGTCTCCACACAGGCCCTCCTCCTGCTCAACCGAGTATTAACAAGCAATGTCTCGTTTTGTTCTTGTTGCTGAAAAAACAAGGGATATAACATCACCTTTGGGTCGTACCTGAGTGAGGTGAACACGAGGGAGAATGTCAGCAGGACCAGCGCAGCGGTCGGTACGAAAACCTCGAGCACGACGCGGACGCGGTACGTGGCGAGCCTGAAATGTAGTGTTTTGTGGTGGTATATTTATATTTGTTTTCGTGTTCCAGAAGCTTCCAATGCCTTTCTGTTTTCAGCCATGTCTCTATCCCATGTTACACTTGATACTCTAGCCTTGTACAAACCGTGAAATCGTGTTTTGCCCTCTGACTACTTCTTCGTAAAATTCCAAAATTGCTTTTCTTTTACCCTTTCTCCCCAAAAAGGAGGACGCAGAGACTGATGCCGAGGCGGCTGACATCCCCGAGGACACCGGGGAGGGAATCAGCGCCGAGACCAGCGCCGAGACCAACGCGGAGACTAGCCCGGACCCGGTGGTGGGGCAAGAAGTCGGGGAGAAGGGTGCAGCTCCCGGTGGTTTGCAGATCTCTCGATGCCGGGCGACTTTGAAGCCGTGGCTAGCGACCGAATTTTTTCTCGGTTGTACCATCTGGAGAGAGTGGACAACCGTGGCCGACCGGAGCGATTGGGTCAAGATCAGCTGGATCATTCGGGACGGCTATATTATTCTGAGAGACATCGACAAACCTCGTAGCCGGCGGAGGACTCGTCGCCGTTCGAGACACAACAACAGGCGTCTCCGGGAGAAACGGCGTCGCCGGGCGTTGCGCCACAAGAGGACAGATGGGCGTGGACGCGTGGTTAGACATGACCGGCGACGCGTGTTGTTGCGCGGGGGGGCGACTGTAGACGAGCAACAGCAAGAAGTCCGCAGGAGCATCAGGAACTGTCGAAGAAAAATCATGGATCTCGTGTCAATCAACCAAGGCGCTTCCTCTCAGATCAACAATGCCGATATCTCTGCTACTATCCACCAAACCAATGGGTACCCAGTGGAGGAGATCAAGCTGCAAATTCAGAGACAGTACAAGATTGCAAGGATGATACGGGAACGGGAGGCGCAGCTTTCGGTGGAGGCTCGGGCTGCGACAACTCGTGATCTCCTACGGGCGGGAAACGACGGCGACGGCGAACACGAGGAAGTGTGCACGGAGTGTGGGCAAAATTTTGATGACGACGACGACATGATGAGATGTTCTGGATGCGAGGGGTGCTGGCACCGGGATTGCGTGGATGACCCGGCCTGTGACGACGGTGAAACGGTGAGAGCAAAGAGAGCGCAACAGGATTACAAATGTACGTTTTGGCTTTTGTTGTTGGGGGGGAGGGAAAGTGTAGTGCATTTCAGGTCGAAATTCAATCGATGGACACAACACACAACCTCCTTGCTTTTTTTTGCTTCTCTGATGTGCGCAGTGGTTGTGCTCAAAATGCTTTGTCCCCGGGGAGGACTCGGGAGGCGACGACGGGGGTGGTAGCGGAGACGAACACAGTGGCACACAGTGGCGGTGGTGGGGATGACAGCGAAGACGAGGCCAGTGATAGTGGGAGCAGCAAATCAGCGAAATCGCGGGCAAGTAGGTCCCCGTACATCGACCTCGTCCAAGCCAAAGAGAAGGAGGATCGCGAGGTCATCAAGGCGAACATAGATGCCCAGCGTGAGCTCGCCAAAAAGAAAAAAGAGGATCAACCGATCTCGGATACCCGGTACCTCACGAGGAACGACGTCACCGAAGCCGTCAGACAGATGAAGGCAGCGATAGAAATTGATGGTGCCATCCTTCGGAAGATGGAGAAGGAGGACCCACGACTGTACGGCATCACGGTGGACCCGGTGAGCGGCACACAGGTTGAGCTCGACAGCAGGAAGGGGAGAGTCGTGGCAGTAAACAGGGATGGCGACGGCTACCTAGAATTTCGGGTCAAGTTGGGACGGGAAACAACGCAAGGGCAAGGGAACTAACAAAACGCTCAACACCCGCCAACTTCTCGAGAGTGCCGTGGGCGAGGGAATCGGCCGGTGGGAAGATGAGGTGAAGCGGATGGAGAAGGCTTTCTGCAGTATTTTTGCCCTCGTCCACGTCCCCGTCTACAAGTTCGCCATCAACGACGATGAAGTGAAGCGAAAAGTCAATCCGGTCAAGTTGGAAGGGAAAGAGAAAACGGAAGCTTTCAAGCTTCGCCGGTTTGCGTGGGATCAGATTAAGAGTGCTAGAGCTTCAGAAGTGATCAACGCCCATGAACTCTGCTTGCTCGCCTCGGACGAAGAGCTGCAGCGGGAGCTTCGGCAAGATAACAGTCTTGTACAAGTTCTCAACATCAACCTCGACACGTACCCCGGCTTGATGCTCCTGAAGGATGAGCATGAGCATCAAATGGACTACGCGCCCCAGCACTACAGCACCATAGACCACTACATCAAAGGAGCTCAGGCTGCGTATAAGCTAGGTCGAGTCATGAGCCTGGAGTCGTGCATGGCTCCGTTGTTCATAGGTGGCGACCGCGAAGAGCTTCCCCCGGGAGTCAATCTTGCGCACGAGGAGCAGAGGAGGATTTCGCTGCACATCATGAAGTTAGAGGTCAATGTCGCGAGGTACGGGTTGGCCACGCGAGCTCTTGTGGCGAGAGCTCGGGTTTCCAACGAACTGTGTCAATGGTATGCGTATGCTCCATTGTACAGAACGATGCTGTTTAGCCGCCCCGGGAGAGACAAGAAGCCGATCAAGCCGACTACGGAGAGCACGAGCAGGTGAGCGAAAGTAAGAGGGATTTGTTATTTGGTGGTTTTGTTTGAGACTCCCCGAGGTTTGTCTATCGCATCACCTAAGCATAGCTAGCTAGACATCATCGCACTCAAATGACGCATATTTCCGCTTTGTTTCTGCTTGTTTTCGTCTGTCACGCACATCGGCTTTATTTTTGAAATGACAGGGTCAGCCCCACACGAAAGCATTTCGTAGCTTTTCAAAAAGCAATGGACTTGAGCATAACTAGAAGACAGGATCGAGAGGTTATCGACCTTTGGTACTCAGAGTACGAGGGCGTAGCCAAAGAGAAGAAAAGGTTGGCTGTGATTTGGGACAACAGGCGGGTGCGAATGGGTATTGGCCCAAAGGTAAAAGGTGGGCGGACGCACAAATCGGGGAACAATGAAGTTGTATTTTTTTTGCGAAAGATGCTGAAAAAGCATGGTGTAGATCCTGTCATGGACTTAGTGAGTGACGAGGACAAGGAGGTGTGTTACCGGGTGCTGGAAGCGGACCCGGATGCAATCGGGGAGCACACGGACGAAGCACAGCTCTACCCGGCGGCCGAGCGGGCTTAACATAGACAGCGTAGCGAGAAAGCTGAAAAAGATTACGCTCAAGCAGTGGTCGACGTTCAGCTGCGCCCTGAACATGCTGGACGCAACGTCAGCGCCGTGCCTGCGTCCGCAGGACATCCTGGGATGCAAGGCAAGAGACTTCCACATCCTTTACGGTCTACTTCGGGCTGTCCTGCCGGAGGATTGCAAGAATGGCGAAGAATTGGCGCGGAGCTTGTATGGGCTCGCTGTCATCCACACCAAGAGTTCGGCATGCAAAGGTGAGAGAGTTTGTGTGTGTGTGTGTTTCTTGCCTGAATCGTGAGATGTGAGATATGTATTTTACCCTGAAACCTGAAACCTGAAACCGAAAACCACCCCTCCCTCCCCCTCCCTTCTCAAATAAATTGGAAGGCCCGTATACTGTCATGCTCGTGGTTGGGCGACGGTTCATCCGAGATCTGCTGAAAAACAAGCTAGCCCAAGTGATCGCAAAGCTCAGGAGCTCGGGGGTATCAGGTGATGCGATTGCCAAAGAGGAAAAGAAGTATGCCGTTGAGCTTGAAGAAAACATGGATCCCATTACTGAATTTGGAAAGACTCCTTACCGGTACGTGGGGAGGCATTGTCTTGGTTTGCCAGCCTTGGGTCCCAACATTTTGCGGTCAATGCTGTTAAGGAGGGAAAGAAGCACGACGACCCTGAAATTGTCAATCTTTTTGCTCTGGCTAGACACGGCATTTTTGATCGCGAGAAAACGTACAATATGGTAAAGAGAGATCTGCAAGTGGCTGATGATGATACATTTCAGGGTCACAATCATGGATTGGCCCAGACATATGGGGAAGATGGTGAACCAGTGACTGCACACGACGAGGATGGTTTTCTGAGTCTGTTTGACCGAGAAGTAGGATTTGGGCCGTTGAAACAGGGTGCGCAGCGGGTGGGAAATCACCCAAGAACGGTCCACCCTTCGATGGAGGCGTTTTTCGGACCTGGTGGTGTGGCTGAGTTTTTCCGACAATTTCTAGGGGAGATGAAGGGTGTGCGTACGCTCCCTGATGCCTCGGATGAAGATGATGATCCAGAGTTTTTGAGGAACAAGAAACGCTTGAAAGAGCTCAAGAAGCAAATTGCTCGCGAAGAAATTAAGGGAAAAATTGCGGAATGCGAGCGTACGCTTGATAGCCTTAAGAGCTGGGGGTGGAAGTATGGTCCGCGAGCATCCGGGCAAGGGGCTTGTGGGTAATAAGAGGCAAATAGGTGAAGTTGTGCCCGTGTGTCGTGCGAAGAAGCCAAAGGTTGAGAAGACCAGGGTAAAGAGCACCGAGTCCACGGATGCTGCCAAGTTGGAAGCTTTGAGGGAGATGCACGCACTTTACGTGTCAGAGGTAGAAAAGGAGTGTGTTCTACCATCGGTTTCCAAAGTATCGAAAGATTTGGCGTCTACGCTTCTTGACGACCCGAGGAGAGAGTTGAAGAAAAAGCTTAGCAGGGGCAAGAACGAAAGGGTACTTTTCGTGACTGACATCAATGATTTTCTTCGTGGCTTAACAGGGAGCTTTGTGACAGATTTGAAGAGGAGTTTCCCGGAACTCCGGACAACGTGGGGAATTTGGTCGGGAGGGTCAACCAAGGCAAAGAGACGCCAGAATTCGTGTTGACGAATGCGCTCCTGAGTGCCTGTGGTAGCCGGGAGTGCGTGTACTGCGAGTAAATTTAGGTTTGTACAGTGCCATGATGGTCATTGGTGTAAAGTTAAGCATTTGGAAATAAGTATGCAAGGGTCAAAACATAAGCAGGCTACTTGGTAGGGTGTTGTCTACTAGTGATCAAATACTGTACTAAATTCGGCAACCAAGAGCTTTCTAGAAGCGCGTTCGATTGACGAGAAATAAAATGTTGCAGGATAGAATAGTTCCAAGGATTGGTTCTTGGGTCAATATTTACCAAAGACTTTGGAATACAAACTACACCTCATCCACCTCACAACTTTCGAGGCACAGCGAAATCTTCAACAACAGAACGTCGGGTCGAACATCATCAAAGGAGTCGATGCACGAGTCAACACGTTTCAAGATGTTGAAGAACGATAAAACAGCGCGAACAAGATCTTAGGCGTGGCGCGGCTCTGAAGTATCGACAACTGTCAATGTTTTAAGATGTAGTCAGATTCTCCATCAGCAATGAGTACTCTCTTCTGAGGCATGGTACCGATTCATGTCGAAGACTAGCCCGAAGATGGTTGATTCCACTTGGAATATCACCCGGTTTTTACTGGAGGTTGTGTTTAGAATCCGATTGCAGTGGAATAAATGTCCGGGAGTAGTTACTTTCGAGAAAATAGACTCTTCGACCTAAACGAGGCCTACCATTTTTGGATGGTTTTGTTCATTTCTTACGAGTAAATTAATAACTGGCAAAGAATAAAGAGTTTCCGTCTTTCGTGTGGAAGGATGCGGTTCTCAGCGAGTGTGGTAAGGGAGGATGCTCTGACATCGGTCAAGCGGTGCAACCTCGAGTTGTCTCCGATAAGATGGCCGCGTTGTTGCAGTCGGGATGGCAACATGTGTTTGTAGCAACACCAAGTATTGATTTTGGGTAGCAATGGTACAGCAACGCTCGTCCAACTCACTTCAATTTCAATCTCCACAACAAGCAAAATGGCTTCTCTCGCAGCCGACGCCTGTGGCGCCACTCTCACAAGCCCTCTCGCAAGAGATCACGATCCGGGTACATCGGCCCCGACAGCGCCGATGGTGCACACAGAAAAAGTGTCGAACAAAGTGAGGGAGAAGGATGTACGGGACGCCCTTGCGGCGACTGGTTCAAGACAACACGAAGTTAGGGACTACAGACCCGGAGTTAGGGACTATAGACCCGGAGTTAGGGACTACGTGTCCCGGTAGGAGGGGTGTCCGATACCTTCGCATCAATGGAAAGGGAAAGGAAAACCCGGTCGCCGATGCCAAAACGCTCATCGAAATTGTATGGCTACTACGTGTACCTCGTGCTCGCTGTACAATTGAAGGTAAATACGCAGTCTACGCACTACTACTGTAGCCGCATACCTGGTAGCTGCTTGGTCAGGCAGTCCGTACTCAGCAAACCTGATGTGCGAACGAAGGAGCAATGACTGCTGTGACACACACACACACACTTCGCGCAGATCCCAGGCTTCCCTCCTCAGGCCAACTTCCTTCCCCGACCACAGTAGTCCTTCTGGTGTACGAAGGCGATTTGAGACAAGGATGCTGTGATTACGGAGAAGGCGACGAGGTAGTTTTTTCTGATGTTATCTTTTGTGCGGGAAGCCGTGGACGGCCCGGCCTCAGATTTCAGTCTCACAGAAAATAAAAACAACTCGATGCAACTTGCAAAAAACATTTTGAAGTTAATTTTTTCCCGCGAACTACTTTCGATGAAGCTGACGCTATGTCACAGTCCCCTCCGTCAACGCGAGGTAATGGGGTAGGCTCGAGGCCCAGGGTAGTTTTAATACATAAACCACGCGCCGCGGTGCACATGCCGCGTGTTGTTGTTGTTGTTGTTGTTTTTGTCTTCACATTAAAAACCATTCCAATCTCTCTCTACCCAGTACCTCCAAATGTCCGTACTGATCCAAGACTTGACGCGGTCAATTCCCGTGGTCACAGGCTAACTTACCCTGAAAAGGTACACTCAAATAAACTGGCCCCGAGGGGTCCGCCAGTCAATATATATCAACGACAGATATTCTGGAGTCCTCCCCTCCCTCTGCGCGCTATGCGAGGTAACAACTGAGACTAGGAGTCAGCATCACGGGCTAGAGAGAAAGAGGTACACCCCCTTGGTTCAATCTTGCTTGGTGCTTCACACGCAAGCAGAGACAAGGCCATCTGACACAAAAAAATAAAGAGAAAAAAAGAGCGACAAAGAAAAGAGAGGAAGAGCAAAAAAATATACTACATATACAAGGGTCTCCGGACGTGGGGGGCCTATCGCCCCCCCCGTCCTCTGGGTTGCTGTGTCTAGGTGATGGTGGAAGGGAAGTGGTGTGGATGGTGGATGAGGCTGGATACCAAGGGCGGGAGTGTTGTATTTGATGGGAAGGATGAGTGTCACATGACAGAGGGGCCAGATGGAGGAACACAAAAATATGTATTAGATAGGAACGACGAGACTTCGCAGGAAGTACTCAAAACAAAAGAAAAATCAGATTTGACTACTTACAAACGAATGTACAGTAGCAATAGGTGCGCATGGAAAGACAACACAAGCCCAGAACTACAGGAGAAAAGATGACGCAGTACAATACGTGCAAGAACCTGGAAAAAGGTGCAAGAAGAAAGAAAAATAACGGTTGTGACTACGTAAAACATGAAGGCACGCTTCGTGCGGACCGCGAGGNCTGGGTAGAGAGATCGGAACGGTTTATAATGTGAAGACGACCACAACAACAACAACAACAACAACAACAACAACACCCACAGGGGGTTGCCAGGTTCCAGCGCAGTCTTGGGCTTGGAGGGGGGTTTGGAACTCTCGACTGGCTTGGGTTTCAGAGGCGAAGCCTTCGATAGCGCACTCATGTCTACTCGGAGGGTAGCGGCTGCTGTCTTGATTTGTGCGCGTGTGAGCGTGGCGCGGGTGTGGTGAGGATCCTAAAACGAATCCTTACTTCCAGAAGTTGGGCGAAGTTTTGACCCAACTAAAGATCCAGAACCCACAGCAGCAGAGAGGGCTACACGCTCCAGGCTTCGTTGAGCGGCTTCGTTAAGCTTGCTCAGAAACTGTGATCGATCTACTACGTGAGAACTGCGCTTGCTACAAACCGCACTAGAGGTGAATAGACGGTAGTACGTGCTGGCTATTGAGGGTGTTCGTGTTTTTTCTCTCCCTGCTGGCAACACACCAACCTAAATAGCAAAACCCCGCAAAACGGGACTGTCACCTTTTTGCGAGCGGAAGACGAAAGACGTCGGTTCTGCGGGTTTCAGCGCGCTTTCACGACCCCTGATTCCGAATCCAGCGGGCACAAT